TAGCAGGTATGAACCTTAATTCTCTTGCTACTTAATGAAGACTAGCGGACATCTGATCCTGTCCAAAATGTCCATTGAGAATTGTGATCCATGCCAAAAGGCCCTTGATATCTGGTCCTGTCAAAATGTCCATAGAGACAGTTGGTCCACACCAAAAGGTCTTTGAAACCCCTTCCTATCAAAAATGTCCATGAGCCTGCTTAGTCCATGCCAAATGGGCCTTGATATTTAATCTTGCCAAAACATCCACACTTACAAAATATCTCTGGATTCACGCAGCTCATAAAGTTTATTAATGCTTTTAGTTTACAAAATTAATACATAAAAAATACTATCATGCTTTACTGGTCCAATAATTTTGTTGTGGCTTTATGCCAATAATAACCCTTCTGAGATGGTAAATGATACATGGGGTTAGGTAGATGGGTCTGGGTTCAAATATTGCAGAAGAGCAGGATTTATATTAACTATGTATACTGAAGAAGAGACCTACAGTTAGAGAAATGCACAGAAGATGACAAATTGAAGATGGGATCTCTCGGTGCATGGTGCATTAATATGTCATTGGGCATTTGGTTGGATGTGGCTGGGTCATTCACTAAGGGTGGCATTTGAAAGGAGGAGCTTGGTCAAACTGCTATTTAAAACTGGCGGTGATCATGTTGATGTAAACACTTTACAGTGCATCCCGCTTGTTCAGGATGAGTGAGAATGGGTGTGGCTCTCCTACCACATAGCGGTCAGTCATAACAGCCACCATGAGGGAATACTGGGCATCTAGTTAACTCCCCTACAACTATCCCATAGCCCAGGATTAATTGATGATGTTTCCCATGAACTGATGTTCTACAGAGGTACAATCACAGTAGACTGCAATAAGCACCTGCCGCATTATTATTGGAGAGGTTTTAGTGGGTGTGACTTCCACTTACCTGCCGGTTGTCATGGACCAAACAGCCTTGGCTAGTGCCTACCTACTAGCTGATCCAGCCCTGCCTAATTGGGTGTCAAATCCATTAAGGCATTAGTAAGGTTTGCCCTACTAATAAATCAGCAACTATTGGTCAGATGGCTACAAAAGAAGAAAAACAACCCTTCTTCTTTTGCTTGGCAAAATATAACGTCTGAACTTGAAAATTATGGCAGAAATAATCTACTCACAGAAAGAAAAGCCAATGCTACGTTCCAATGGTTTTGTTACCATTTCCATTCCTTTAACAGAGACTGGAGTAAAAGATACTGACACTTTGAAGAGAGGGTAATCTGCAGTGCACAATGTACAAATAGGATGTGGATAAAATTACAGTCATTCAAGATAGGACAGGAAAACATCGGCACAATGCTGATTGTGAAGGGGAAGTAATGAAAACACTGAACAGTTTAAAATGACATGCAGAAGAAGATCCAAATGCAACACCATTGAAGGTACGTCAAAGAACTATCTGTGATATTCATGATGAAAAGGTCCTGTTATTGCTACCAGAATGAAATGGATTAAAGAGGAAAGTAAATAGAATTCCAAACAGACATCGACCTCCAAACCCAACTTCATTGCATGGACTTCAATTCCAGCAGAGTATAAAGTGACCAGATGTGGAGAACCATTACTTATGCATGATCCCAGTGCTCAATATGATGAAAGAATTCTTATTTACACAACATATGACAATATTTGATATTAAGCGCCAGTACCACATTATTCAGTGATGGCAGCTTCAAGACAGCACCAACACAGTTCACTCAGTTATTTACTGTGCACGGTGTAATACTGGGTTATACTATGCCATTGACTTATGCACTAACAATGAAAAGGGGAGAAGACACATCTACATCTATATATGTATATAAATATAGATATAGATATGAGACTACTTGCATTTGCATGGGAAAGAAATCTCAACATTAACCCTTCACCGTACATCATGGATTTCAAGACTGCAAACACGAATGCAAGTCAACTACTGCCAAATGCACAAGTAAAAGAATGTTTCACTTTTCACAGTCACTGGTGAAAAATATCCCTCCTCCTTGAGTCTAACATGAGTATATAACACCAGAAACTAACACCCATAAGTGTGCATCCATGTTGTTTGGACTTCTTTCTGTTTATGCCAACTGAAACTTTTGAGTACACTGTGGAGAATGCAGAAGAAAATTCAGATGCCATAATGGATTATGTTCAGAGAGTGTATGTCTATGAAAGGCACGGCAGAGGCTGAAGAAGACCAGAAGCTCCAAGATTTCCACCAGAAATTTAGAATGTTTGTAGATTAATAATGAACAGCTACCAAAGGATGAACACAGTGGAAGGCTTGCATAGCAAATTTCAAAAGCTAATGGTAGTGAATCATCCTTCAATTTGGAGATTTTTAAAGTTTTAAAAGACAAACAGCAAATCAATGAACAAGTAAGTCATCATCCAGGTTTTGGTGATCATACTCAAATATAGCAACAAATTTCACAATGATACTGACAAAATCAAATGACAATAACCAAAATTGTTAACAGATATAATAAATATAAAGCCAATAATCAGGTTAAGATATACTTGGCAGCAATTGCTTATTGGCTTAAGAGTACCCTACCAAACTTCATTATAAGGAAGAACAAGAATAAATGTGAAATTCAAATTTCATCATGAATTACAATAAAAATAACAAAATTTTAACAAAGTTAAGTATTTACATCATTTAACAAATCATGGACCAAATGTCTTGATGGACATTTTGGACAGGACCAAATATCAAGGACCTTTTGGCATGAATTAGATGTCTCGGTGGATGTTTTAGACAGGACCAAATGTTCTGCTAAGCTTGATACTGATTTAGAGCAAGCCAATTAACCTCTTTGACCCTCAGTTTCTGTATCTGCAAATGGGATAATGATACCTAACTTACAGGGTCATTATGAGAATTAGAGATAATGTATATAAAGGGCCTACCTCAATAAAGGGAGCAATTATTATTCTGTCTTTCCTACTTAGCAACCAGGAGTCTCAAAATCATTTGGTCTTTACATTTTCATTCGCTCACCTTATCTCTTCCCTTCTTTTTTTTTGTCTGCTTCATGGACTTCAAAGTGAGGTATTTTAGGAATGATCTAATTTATCACTTTTATTGAATAAGTGAGGGAATAGTAGCGGAGAGATTACATGACTTGTACAAGATCACAAATAGTTAAAGGCAGCCATCAGAACCCTGTTCTGAGTTTTTCATTATTTTCCTTATGGTTGTTACTATTTGTTTATTTTCTCTGACCCCATACCCCACCCTGCTATCATACTGTAAGCTCATCAAGGACAGGGATTATGTCCTCTTTTTTCTTTTTAATTAAATTTATTGGGCTAACATTGGTTAAGAACATTATATAAGTTTAAGATGTACAATTCTATAATACATCATCTGTATACTCCATTGTTTGCTCTCCACCCAAAGTCTAGTCTCCCTCCATCACCATATATTTGACCTCCTTTATTCTCTTCATCCACCCCACACCCACCTTCCCTCTGGTAACCACCATACTATTGTCTATGTCTATGAGTTTGTTTGTTCATTTGTTGCTTTTGTTTTATATTCCACAAATGAGTGAAATCATATGGTTCTTGTCCTTTTCCATCTGACGTAATTCACTTAGCATGATACTCTCAAGATCCATTCATGTTGCAAATGGCAATATTTCATCTTTTTTCTGGCTGAGTACTATTCCATTGTATATGTGTACTACATCATCTTTAATCATTATGAAAAGATGCTCAACTTTACCAGCTATAAGAGAAATGCAAATCAAAACTACCTCACACCTATTAGAATGGCTATTATCACTAAGACAAGAAATAACAAGTTTTAAAGAGATGTGGAGAAAAGCAAACCCTTGTACACTGCTCGTGGAAATGTAAATTAGTGCAGCCTCTATGGAAAACAGTATGGAGGCTCCTCAAAAAATTAAAAATAGAGCTACCATATGTCCCACCAATCCCTCTTCTGGGTACCTACCCCCAAAATTTGAAAACACTTATTTGTAAAAACATCTGTAAAATAAATACAATTTATTTTACATCTGTAAAATAAATATGATACCACTTATATGGGATATCTAAATAGTCAGATTTATAGAAACAAAGTAAAATCGTGGTTACCAGGGGTTGGGGGAAGGGAGAAATGGAGAATTGTATACAGTGTCAGTTTTGCACGATGAAGATCTGTTGCACAATAATGTGAATACACTTAATATTACTAAATTGTACACTTAAAAATGGTTAACATGGTAAAAATTAAGTTATGTGTTTTTATAATTAAAAAAATTAACTAAAAAATACACACACACACACACACACACACACACACACAGTGTGGTCCTAAGGGTTTGGGCTTTTAATGGGGTTTATGTTTTCTCACGTATATATTTTTCACAACTTCATTAAGTTTTTTCTATACATCTGCATCATGTGGGAATAGCATCCTATACACTAAAATTCTTATTAACAGTAAACACTGGAAAAAATGTTTTCCTTTCTGTTTTGTTTTCAAATTGTGTGCTACATGTGAGAAAGTTAAATAATTCACTTTTTACGGTTTTCCAGTATAACAAAAAATTCCAGTAATTGGTTAACAACAAAATTTAATTAATAAAATACTGGTTAAAAACACAATGAATGGGCAAGTTATAAACGAATTTTTAAAATCTGAACTCAAAACCATTCATTATTCAGTTATCAGACTCCCTTGGTTGAGCTAAGTGTAAGAATGACAAAAGTCACAGGGAAATGTGACTATAATATTTCCACTGTACGCTACATAGTAAATTGACAAAAAAAAAAGTTTTGTCAAAGTATCTAAAAGTTTTCCTGTAATCATACTTATAAAGGAGTTATCAGAAATTGTATTGGGTTGTTGGGGAAGTCATGACGCATTTTTGCATTGAAAAACATAGAAAAATACATCATGACTTTCCTGACAACCCAATATTTATATTTGATTCATATCTTAATCATTTTTTAACAGAACTCCTGGGGCCTTTGGACAGAGGGGATATGCTAAATGAAGTTTTCGTTGGCCTATCGTTAACACCTCACGGAGAAGACACATTTCCAGATAACTTTTGTTCAATCCATGGACATATTATTCAACGAAGAACACTGAATGTCTCTTCTAACAGGTAAAATATGTTGAACTAAGAAAATTGCTCCATAAAGGAAAAGTATTTAGTATTAAACAATTTAAATATTCCCCATTTAAATGCAAATTAATAGTTAAGCAAGGATATTTCAAAATGTCAAAGGAAAAAATTTGCATTTTCTCATGGCTAAGACTTTGCAGTAGTTTGGTTATGCAAGAGCAGGTACAATAGAAGTATAATTAAATGTAAACAGAATATTGTTATAATGAATGTCATTCCAAGCCAAAATGAAATTACTATAATGTATTGAATTCTATTTATAGTCTGTTGTGGAATTTTAAGCTTGTTACATTATTAGATTAAAATATTAACTTTTAGAATATTTAGTTTAAATTATAATTTATATGTTCACACTTATGCAAGCTTGCCATTAGTTTTTAAAGTCTGATAAATGATAGTTTAATATCCAGCTTGCCACATTGGGTTATTGAGAAAATAAACATAAGGATAAATGTGAAATTAAAAACACTAGACAAAGTAATAGTGTTATTTATAATGATAATTATAATGTTCATTATGATGATGATAATACTCTGAAGCAAAGGTCAGCAGCTTTTTGTGTAAAAGGCCAGATACTATGCTTTGTGAGCCATACAGACTCTCACAGCTACTCAACTCTACTGTTGTAGTATGAAAGCAGCCACAAACAATATATAAATGAATGAAAGTGGCTACGCTACAATAAAACTTTATTTACAAAACAGGCAGTGGGCAGGATTTGGTCCTTGGTCTGTAGTTTACATACCTGCTCTTGAAGATCCCAACTATATGCAATTAACTGTGATGCGACCACATTTTTCATATATATCATATGCAATGTATATGAATATATGAGTATGATATGAGATATATATATATATATATGTATATATACATATAATATATGAAATACATGACATATGGGAATTTGTGATGTTCTGGGATTCCTCACATCCTCCCACCATCCCCAGCCTAGTTCAATCTTGTAGTTTCACTCGGGTAGGACAGACTGTGAAAACCAGCAGCTGACTTGATTTGGAGCTTAAGAGTGGAAAAACCCCACTCAGCAGCATTGTCAATAAAAATAGCAAACTCACCGTCAGTAAAAGTAACATAGCTGAAAGAAAATGAACAGGGAAAGCCACAGTTCCACTAGCCTGCTTATTGGGTCAAGTGACAAAATGGTAGACTAGCCAGAGATTTAACAGGGCGATCCTGGAAATGAGAGAACCAAAGAGGGATATTAAGCTCTGCACATTTCTGATGGAGTTGTACAACCTCATTTCTTGGCTCTCTTTTGTCTTGCACAACCCTAAAAATTCCCGATGCTTCTTTCCTCCTTCATTCCCAGTTGCCAAAAAGTGCCTCTCCTTTGTTGCCTTTGATCACTACCTGGCTCCCCACGCCAGGAGCTAAAAACCTGCCTTTTCAAACTGTTCCGTACTTTTAATGTTAAGCCCCTTTCGTGTAGTTCGTGCTCTGACCTACAAAAATACCAGGACTTGGAGGGGTCATACACTGGGATTTGGTGTTTTTCTCCATTCTATTTACAATTATTTTGAAGTTTGGACATTCTGTCTTCAAGTCATGCCAGAAGTGTGGTTTCCATGTAGTTTCCATTTCTCCCTTTCTGTGTTGTTTATAGAGGAAGTATTGGGAGGTGAAAAGGAAGGCAGCCACTATTATCCTTCCGCTGCCTGGAAGTCCTTCCTCTATTTACTTTTTTAAAAACAATTTTAGTGAGTTATAATGGGTGGATTTCATGGCACATGTAAATTATAAGTATACAATTCAGTGATGTTTGGTAAATTTATAAAATTTGCAGCTACCACCACAGTGCAGTTTTAGAATATTTCCATCACCCCAAATAGTTCCCTTGTGCCAATTTATTGTCAATTCCCACTTCCACCCCCAGCCTGAGCCAATCACTAGTCTGCTTTGTCTCTAGAGAAATTTTATATAAATGAAACCATACAGTCTAGAAATTTCATATAAATGGAGTCACACAATATGTTGTCTTTTGTGTCAGGTTTCTTTTGCTTGGTATTATGTTTTTAAGGTTCACACATGTCATAGCATGTAGTGAATTCCTTTTTAATTGATGAATAGTATGGATGCTATATAAATATGCCACATTTTGTATATCTGTTAACCAGCTGATGGATATTTGAATTCCAGGTTTGGGCTATTATGAATAGTGTTGCCATAAATATTCCCATGTAAGTCTTTGAGTTAAGGTATGTTTTATTTCCCTTGTATAGATAGAATTGTTGGATCACATTGCAAGTTCATATTGTTAGTTTTAAGAAACTGCCAAATTGTTTTTCCATAGTGACTATAACATTTTACATACCTACCAACAATGTACAATGTATGAGGGCTCCAGTTTCTCCACATCCTCACCTATGCTTGGTATTGTCACTCTTTTATTATAACCATTCTAGCAGGTATAGAATGGTATCTCATTATGATTTTAATTTGCTTTTCTCTAATGACTAATGATGTTGAACATTTTTATGTGATTATTAGCCATTAGCGTATATTTTTTGGTAAAATATTCAAAACTTTTGACCATTTTTTAATTGGGTTGTCTTATTATTGAACTAACAAATTTCTTTATATATTTTGAATATAAGTCCTTTATTAGATATACAATTTGTAAATATTTTCTCCCAGTCTGTGTCTTGCCCTTTCATTTTCCTAACAGTGCCTTTTGAAGCACAAAAATGTATTTTGTTGCAGCCCAATCTAACTATTTTTTTCTTTTATTGATTGTGCTTTTAGTGTTGTACATAAAAAATCTTTTTCTAACCTAAGGACTCAAAACTTTCTTCTAGAAGTTTTACAGTTTTAGCTCTTACATTTAAGTCCATTTTTGAATTAACTTTTATGTATGATGTGATACAAGCATCTAAGTTCATTATTTTGTACATGGAAATCCAATTTTCCTAGCATCATTTGTTGAAAAGTTCCTTTCACCCATTGAATTGCCTTGGCACCTTTGTCAAAAATCAGTTGGCCATGAGTGGAAAGGTTTATTTCTGAATTTGCCATTTTATTCGGTTGGTCTGTGTATCTATCCTTACACTAACAAGTACCTAGACTTGGCTATACTGAAGGCTATTCTGAACCAGAATCTCACAAAATACATCACAATACCACAAAAATAAACAGGAAAAAGATGAACAGTTCCGCACAGAGTTACTTCATAAAAACAGAAAATGAAAACAAACACATCAATTGAGGAGAATTCTCCCCTCACCCCCAAACGAGCATGAAGTAGAAAAATACTGCAGTGATACTCCAAGCAGAATTAACAAACAACTGGGTACATGGAAGCTCACTATGAATTAGACAGACAAAAAAAGTAAGAGGAACAGGGGAGGGGATGGGGCAGGGAAAGAAGGAAGGGAGGGGGTTCACTGAACTCAAGAAAGAAAAGGAAGAACAAGATAATATTATCTCAGAAATGAAAAATAAACTACAGATGAGAATTAACCTAAAATTAAATTTAATAAAAGGCACTGAAAATGACAGAGAACTAGGGAATGAAAGGGAGATAAAGAAAGAAGTTAAAAAAAGAAATGTCAGGGAGAAACTACAGGAAATCCTCAATATCATCAGTAGGTTCTTGGAAACTGCGACTTTAAGCAAAATGACATATAAATAACCAATTTACCATAGTCTAATTAATATAAACAAAGTGAAGTTCTTATGGCATATTTCTGGTCACAAAAACATCACCAAACTTTTAAATAAAGACCCAAACCACTCCTGATAATAAATACTGAAATGTGAGCCATACATACATTAAGAAATATTAAAAACAAGATAATAATTTTCCAACCTGCTGATTCCAGTTCAGGCTCAAGGTTGGCCAGAGCCGATCCTGACAGCTCAGGGTGCAAAGCAGGAACCCACCCTGCACATAACACCCTTCCATCACAGGGCACACTCACTCTTACTGGGACAATTTAGACACATCAATTAACCTACCATATGTATTTTGGGGATGTGAGAGGAATCCAGAGTACCCAGAGAAAACCCATGCAGACATGGGGGAGAAAAGGCAAACTCCACACAGACAGTGGCTCTGGCCAGGGATCGATTTTTTTTTCTCTCCCCAATGTTATTACAAAAGGATGTTGAATGAAATAATGTTATTCAGGAATCTGCTGTAATAAAATAGGAGGCAAGGCAAAGAAGGAACAGCATTTGTACAATTTGACTCCTTAAAGAAGAAAAATAAAACAATGGAACAGAATTAGTATTTAAACTATAATCCAGGAAAATGTTTCAGAAATAAATTTTTTTTTAAATATTATACTTAGACCTACATATTGAAAGATCATACCAGGTGCCTAAGAAAAATTATGTTAGAACAATCAGCTCTAAGACATATCCTAACACAGCTTTTAGATTTCAGTGATTAATTTTTAAATCTTCAAGGCCTCCAGGTAAAAAGATCAAGTAATTTACAAAAAGCAAAACAAACTAACATCATCCTGTTCAAAAATATAAAATGCAAGGAGAGGCAAAAGTGAGCTGTAATTTTTAAAAACTCAATGAAAGAAAGTATGAACCAAGGATTTATATCCACCCAAGCTCTCCTTCAAATATCAAGATTAAAGAAAAACCATTTTCATGAACACTTCTTGAGGAATGTACTTGAGAGCAAGAGCTTCACCCAACCATGAGATGACTCGGAAAACTTTAACAAAGGACTAATTGTGAAAGTTTTAAGACATATAAATGAGAGATGAGTGTGGAAGACTCATGTACAGGTACTGTAGGTTGGAATTAAATAGAAATTAAGTAGAAACTAAAAAACAGGAGGAGAACAGAGTGAAAGAGAAAAGCAGAATAAGCTCACTGATTATTGTATACAGCATAGGTGAGAGTTAAAAGATGCCAATAAACCCTGATACATCAGATAATATAAAGTTAACTAAGAAGAGACTAAGGGCATTAGAAAAGATATTAGTACAAAGGTAACCACT